GAACACATAGCTATTCTATTGCTATTTTCTCATTCCTATAAAAAAAAATCGTAATATAAACGTAATTTAATCGCATGTAGGAGGATACGATTGACAATTCCTTTTTTATTGAATCAGATAAATAAAAAAGTTACAAACCACTATTATACAATATCCTAGAACGCAGACGATTAATGTGCTCCTTATTAATTCTATAAAACACATTTGCTGCATAGTACGTTCCACTAATTGCAAAAAACTGAAATGTTGTTATGCATGATATAAAATCGACATTTTCCAAAAGAATGACAAGGTCGGTTAAAAAATTACAATCCACGTACGGTACACAAAGTTAATAAGAGGAATTAATTATCATTCATAATTAATTAAATAAAAATTATGAGTTACACGTACTCACCATCGTACTCTTATTTGATATTCAACTACTTCGGCCAGCTTCTTATCCACATCATGTTTCTTAATTCACTACTTCTCGAAGAGACGTGTCATCAGCTTCATCAGTATCCGTAGTTGACCACAAGCATGCATCACAAAGATAGCTGTAAAACCACACACGTCTGTCGTAATCGCGAAAGTGACTAAACCAGAAAAAAATTGTATCACAAAAATCATCTCATAAGTAGGGCTGGCTTGCGCATTGAGAGAGAAGAAGTAACCCGGACAAGCTAAGGGCTTGATCGTGACGTTTTGCGCAGTCACGATGGTTCCTTTGGACAACGATAAAATCGTCCGGTAAGAGAGCCCACTGCCGTACATAAAGATTCCGCAAAGTATGGCTAGGCGTCTTCCAATTTTCGCGGATTCGATCATCGTGTTTCGCGTGTCGGTATCCATCACATTCTTCCAATCCTCCTCGATGTGCTTTAGACAACGTTTGATCTGCCCCTCGCGAAGTATCAAATTATCGTATTTACCGATGATCATAAAACCGAAAAGGAGTAGAGATAACATTTGAATCCTGATGCGTGTTCTCTTCTCAAACAACCAGAAAAGAAAACCAGGAATCAAGACGCAGTACAGAAGTAGCCAAGATATTATGATTATTAGAAGCTTGCAGATTCGACCGCCGATTGATTTTCTTTCGTCTAAGGACGGCCAAACTCCGAGTGTGTTCAAAACATTACGCGTTATTTTAGTGATATACATAATATCATCTTGATAATGTTCGTTATTCGGCATATTTTTTAAATTTACGAGAAAAATTGTCTCAATTTCTTTTACAGCGAATTACTTTCGGATGCAAACCGTACAAATTATTATGAGCACGATGGAGTTCAGATGCGAGCTCGATTACAACTGACGGTTGCAAAGGGAGATACAAATCAAACAAATCCGCTGTTCGCTTGCGCTTGCGCGATTTTAATATTTAGATGTTGCGTGCGTGAGAGGCAGTAAAGCTTTAAAAAACGTTGGTAGCAAACTTTGAAAGCCAACTTGCTCGCGGGCAACCGGGACAGTTTGCGAAAGTAAGTATTTTTGTTCGTCAGAATTGTCTCCCCTTTTTCAATGGACTAAAGTTAAGCTGTAACTTTATTTCTTCCTGTATCCGAAGTTATAATTATAGTCATCGGAGGTCGAATCAGTATATTCTGCATTATTCAATCAAAACTATTAGTTGCTGTCAACCTCTGGTGGTAGCAATCATAACTTTTGATACAGGAAGGAATAAAGTTACAACATATTCGTAATTCGTTGGAAAAGAGAGTGCATGTTAGTGGATAGAAATACTTGCTTTCGCAATAAAAATATTTTGTACCACGCAATCGTAGAAGTTAACGGATGGTAGCATCATTGTTTATACGTACCTATTTTGTTTATACGTACGTATTTTGTGACTATACAAAATACAACATATGTCATTGTGTCGTACTTCGTCAACCCGGATAGGAACGTTTAGTTGGTAACATTTTGCAACATATTAAAATATATCACAGGTACTTTTACAACCTACAACATAATCGTGTGATTATTAGCTTATTATTTTAGAGGATATAACAAGCTTGATACGCTAAATGTTAACTAGTTTACATAGAAAATATTTTAAATACATGATCAATATGGTCTATATTAATTTGAAGATTGTTTCGTTGCAATATGTTAAACAATTTTGATTTTATTTTGATTAAAGCAAAAGTGTTACTTACGTTAGAGAATATGCTCAACGTCATCGTTGTTATTCTCTGTCACTAAGTAAAGCAAGCAGACTCACGGTAACGTTATCCTTGCTGACCTGTTTCGAAGATACCAAGAATAGAAAGTAATAAAGTATATCGTAGCTTAGCATATGAAGGCTACGAAAAAAAATACGGATATGCAGCCCAGTCTAGCATTCACCAGTGTGATACAGACAGTGTGATTTCTCTGTCCAATCCATATATTAGACGTACACACACACACACACACACACACACATACACACACAAGCTAGTCCATTTTTTAGTTATAGTTCAAGAAGAAAGTTCACTTATATTCCGAATACTAAAAACGCAAAAAAAGATTGTCATAGATATCAGTATGACATCAAAGTATGGCCTTTGACTTTCACTGGATATTGAAGATACAAACTTGATTTATATCTACACAGAGAGAACGATTTATTGAACCAAATAAATTCTTTGGAATAGTCCAAACAAATTATTTAATTGGCACAATAAAAATATTTCTTTGAATCTAAGCCGTAAATAAATATTTTTGTTGCGTCAAACAAAATTTTATTCGATCAATAAAAAAATTCGTTTGGATTATTCCAAAGAAATGTTTATTTGATTCAACCAAATCGTTCTCTCTGTATACGCTGCTCTTAAAAGATAAATACATTTTTTTTATAATTATTGTGAAATATACAATCACTAACTTGCTTTTTTTGTTGAACATGAAAAGAATAAATGCTTCTATGTTCGAAGTAATGTTACTGATAAGCTTAGTCTGAGTTTTCCTGTCCGAGGAAAAGTTTTCCTTAGTTAGAAAATTACGATTTAACGTTTTACAAAGAAAGAATACTAATAATAGTAGTGTATA